ATTATATTATTGACTTATTGAAAAAGACTTGAGTGCCCTTCTTTAAGTAAGAGGCACTCGAACTAACATAACAGTACACATCAGCATTCTCAACAAGTACAAAGACTGAAATACCCCTTCACTAACACCACTAACAGAAATAAAGAAATTGAAATTTCACATTCTTGAAATGTTGAGTGCTTGCATATGTTTTAAATATTTATGTCTATGTATTTTAATTTGAACTAATAGACTTTTTAAATCATTAGTGTGATGGCATGTGCTATGCATGTATGCAAGTAAAGGGTTACATATAAGTTTGACATCATAAAATCAAATTTAACATTTATGACCTGCACCAACACCAAAGCAAGTATCCACTTTATAGCATAGATTTAATTTAAAATTAAAGTTTGCATTTTTAAATAATATATCTTTATATTTTTGATTTATTTATTTATTTTTTGCTTTTTTTGAAAATTTTTAAAATTTTGCGCCTTGCTTCAGAAAGGTGCATGCCTTGCCTTGTGCTTTGCACTTCTGGCACACACTAAGAAAAATCTATTTGCACTTTCTTTTTGCACAACATTGAGACCTAAATGGACTGATTCTTTTGGCATTTATTCTTCATTTTGGTATTGCTCATGGTCAGTTTTCATTTAATTCTTATTTATTTTCCTTGGTGTCTTTGATCTACTCTTTGTTAGACCTATTAATTTTATCTCCCTGTTCTATATCTTCTTTATCTTGTGGTTTTGTGTTAGATTTGGAAGTCATAGTTTTACTATAGATAGTAATTGCGGGAATTATTATAAATATTAAGTTAAATTGCTTTCAGTTCATATTTTAGCACTTATCAAACATCATCTTTATGTCTTTTCATATATATGCTTTATATTCTGACTAGTGTCGCTATGTTTTTCCTTCAATCTACATTTGAGGAAGTGTCTATATATTTGTTTTCATTCTTTTACTTACTTTGGCCTTTCTTCTATCTGATAATTTGTATTGAATTTTTATTAGGATGGATAGGCAACGTCGTGAGGAAGAGCAGAAGAACCGATCCTCTAAAAAAGGACATGAGGCAGAGCAAGCCATATTAAACCGAGTATGAGAGCTTTCTTGTTTTTCCAATATAACCTACAAGAATTTTTGACAGTTATGGTTCTTCTTGGTTGTATTGAGCACATCTGTTGTATGCATTTCTGTAGGCAACTAGTCCTCAGACAGGAGGTCAACAAACTGGGGGAAGCCTGAAATCGATGAAAGAAAAATCTGGTCAGCCAGACAAGGATGCCCAAGAGGGTTCTGCTCTGAAGACAGCTGGACCTGGTGGGGAGATAACAGCAGGTTTGTGTAATAATTACATTACATTATTGTACATGGGCTTTTTTACAATTTCGTTTGTCAAATGTTATTTTTAAGGTTAATTACATGTATATACCCTATACATTTGAGAAACTACTTATATATACCCTGAACTTTTAAAAACAACTTATATGTGCCTTAGAAAAGGGGGCCTCGCCTTCGCTTTGACAAGATTCCCCTAACACAAAAAAACCAAATTGGGCTGCATTGAAAAGGGCGTCTGGGGGCCCACTTTCTTTCCCCTTATCTTTTCTTCCTTTCCCTTCTCTTTTCTTTCTCTCTCCTTTTTTTTCTTCTCTTTCTTTCTTTTTCTTTCTCTTCCCTTCCCTTCCCTTCCCTTCCCTTTCCCTTCCCTTCTCTTTTCTTTCTTTTTTTTTCCCGTCTTTTTACATGAGGTGTGCATGAGGTGCATGAGGCGTATGCCTCATGAAAAAAGCGTATGAGGCGTACGGCTCTTTCACCTGAGGCATACGCCTTAAGAGGTGTTAGCACCTCTGTCATATGCCTCAGGGCCTTTTGGGGGTGCACCTCGCGTATGCCTCCCACACCTTTTAAAACATTGAGATCAACCAAATAATCTATTGCAAAGACAAAAACCAAGTTTTCTTTTAAAGTCTTAAAAGAACTTCAACCTAGTTTGAAGTGGTGATTATGTCTATTAGGCGGGCAATAATACTCCTACTCCACATATTGTCAATATTGTCTCCAACTTATGCTATAATATCATCTCATATGTTCCACATTGCTATGGTAGTTTTCACTGGGGAATATGCCAATTCCAGTAATATTTCGTGTTGGTACCCACAAATGGAAATATATTGTGGAAATATTAGGAATTATATGGACATTCTAAACCATGGTTTCCAGTAACAAATATCATCTTTGGGATGCTAACTATGATCTAATGTTTTAAAACGCGGAGGTGTGATGGGAGGCTTTCCACTACTTGGAGGTGTGAGACATAAGCCTCCTTAAGAGGAGGGGGATGAGGAGGAAGGATGGGGAGGAGGAAGAAGAGGAGGAAGGAGGATCTCATCTCATCTCTCTTTCTCTCTCTCTAATAAAGATCTTTTATATTAAGAAGAATCGTGATGTCTTCCCTTCCCTTCCTTTTCTTCTCTTTTTTTTTTTTCTTTCTTTTTCTTCCCCTTAACTTTCCTTTTCTTTCCCTTCCCTTCCTTTTCTTTTCTTTTTTCTTTCCTTTCTTTTCTGTCTTTTTGTATGAGGTGTGTACAGCTCTAGCGTGCCTCATGCAAAAGGCATGTGAGATGTACGCCTCTTGCATCAACTCCTCTGGCATATGCCTTGGGGCGTTTTGGGGCTGCCTTGCCTGCGTGTGCCTCCTTTGCCTTTTAAAACACTGCTATGATTTACATATATCATTTACATCGTTTTTAGAAGTTTCTTGCTCATGAGGCCTTGAAATTGTCTATGAAATTTCTGAAAAAGTTGAAGAGCTTTGGCCACCACCCTCCTGTAAAACTCTCTAAGTAATGCAGCTTTTAGTTTGATTTTTCTGAAGCTTATTTAATATTTTCTTGGTATATTCTCATTACTTTGCATTTCATTGGCTTTAGGCTTTCTATTGAAAAAAAGTGCAAAAACCAATGGCTGGAGCAGACGGTGGTTTGTTTTAAATGAAAAAAGTGGCAAGGTTTGTAATATGCTATTATAACCAAATTATATTGATACTATAACTTAGGAAGTGGCTTGTTTTTATTTTGACCTCAACCTCATTGTGCAGCTTGGATACACCAAAAAGCAAGAGGAGAGACATTTTCGTGGGGTTATAACTTTGGAGGTATAAAGCATTGCTGATATTTTTGAATGCTTGTATTTTATTTTGATATCATATATAAACTTTCTTATAATCTTGATGCATGTCTTATCTTATATTGAAGCTTTAAATAATGAATAAGGGTTCAAATATGTCCTGGAACTCTTGCTTTTTCTTTTTCTTTTCTTTCTTTCAGTGTGATTGCTTATCATTTTCTTCTTGCATTTAAAACCTTGCTGGAAACCTTTTTTAATTTTATCACTACCAGTGCGATTTGCATTTTATGGGTTACTACGTTATTTAATGTAGGCATCAGGAATTTTGGGATAAGATATATATTTTTTTTTTCCTTCAACCTTTTTTTTAATGAACATCCCAACTTGTCCTCTGCCATGCGTTATAATCCTGTCCTTGTTTGTAGGCACCGAAACATGATGAATGCAGAAATAAATTTGTCAAACATTTGCATGTAGCGTGCAAGATAAATGTGTAGTATTATAGAGGTTGGAAGAAAAAAAAGGAAGTTCAGTGACATCCAATAGCACATTTGGTCAGTGTTGCAATGAAGGCATATCTTCAATATATCAGTTACTGATCTATCTGAAATTACATTCTAAATAGAAAATATATCTGATCAATCTACTATTTTGTACTTTACAATAATGTGTCAAGGTAATAATGAAATGTAATGGAGGCTATTGCTGGTTATATGCACCTTAGAGTAGCTCTGTAAGTTGCCTGAACATGTAGCTTGATGGGCCAAATCTTCAATAATGCAGGGCTAGTTTTTTAAGAATATCTGGGAGGTCCAGTCTCAGATTGAGTGTTACCCATAGTTGTCAAGGTGATGCTTAGGTGACAAGGCACCCTTGGAGGCTCGCCTCGCCTAATCGCCATGCAGTTTTGTACTTCCTATTATAAAATACTTTTTTATTATTTATTTTTTGAGAATATAATTATAAAATAGACATTATTAAACTAAAATATTCATTTTGTGTTTATATACCAATTTGTTTTTGTTAGTTTCTTATTTGTTAGGGTTTAATCAACATAAACATTGCTAAATGCTGTATTGAACCCTCAAAAGACTACAAAACCTGAACTAATAAGTAAGGTAGAACTAAGTTTGTCTACTCAACACATTTTCTTCTTCCATATATTCTTCTTCTTCTTCCTCTTTTATTCTACTTTTCTTCCATATTTTCCGTATCTTCTACTTTTTCTTTTCTTCTTTTCCTATAACAAAAATATGGGTTCAGCCCCCCATATTTTTCAATTTTCTTTTCTTTCTTCTTTTTCTTCTCATGAATACGTTGATTTTCTATACTTCGACATGAACTTTATACTTTTCTTATGAAAATTATGAATAAATATTAAGGAAATATGGTTATGGTACCTAGGGAACTACCCTAGGATCTATGTTTTTTACTAAAAAAAATCCATCGCCTAGGCGACAAGGCATCCCCCTATTGCCTAGCATCGCGTTGGCGCCTTGAAAACTATGGTGTTACGTTACCATACCATGTAGTATTTTTGATTGGGTTCAATTATTGCATCAGCTTATGCCTGTACCTATATGAATCCTTAACTCTATAAAATACAGAGAAGAAACAATTAGCATCTGCTTAAATATTGCAAAGAAAGTACATTCTTTTATAATTTTCTTAAAAAATTACAGTCTTTTGTTTTGCTGGAAAGAATATGTGGACATAGGATGTCTTAGTTGCTTCATTGATTACTTGTAACTCACAAAACTCTTGGTGGAAGAAAGATGGAAGGTGTACAAGTGAAGATGGTGCCACTAGGCCCAGGACTGGGCCACTCAATAGTTAATAGCATAGGGCTAGATGTACAAGGCAAGTCAATGTTTTGCCATGTGTCTGCTCAAACTTGGTTGAGCTTAAAAAGTTCAATTATGATGTCAACCTCCATTTGGTTATTTGGGGATAAAAGATGTAATAATGGGGTTATCCATAATTGTAACTATTAGTTATCAAACTATTATTTTGATCAGGTTTGTAGCTCCTGCAACTGAATGTTTCTTTTTATACTACTTTTTTTTTTTTTTTCTATAGCTGTTCAATCAGAAAGAATGGTGGTTTGAAGATGTTTTTTCCATGATCTGCTTTTCTGGCAATTAGGGCTTTTATGGAATATTTAAGAGGTAGTCCATGCTTACGGTCTTGTATCCTGTTTATTGTGCAGGAATGTAATATAGAAGAGGTTTCAGAAGAAGAAGAACCTCCATCTAAAAGTTCCAAAGATAAAAAGGCAAATGGACCAGATTCTGGAAAAGGACCCAGTCTTGTGTTTAAGATTACTAGCAAGGTTCCATACAAGACTGTCTTGAAAGGTACTTATTTTCTTTTACATATTATTATTGGGGTACTACTGATTGTCTGTATATCATTTCTTTCTTTTCATTGAGCTTCTCTATTTTCATTTCTCTTTCTTATTTTTAGTCCATTCAATTAATAACAAATTTACATCTGAGTTCTCCTTTGCAGCTCACAGTGCTGTTGTATTGAAGGCTGAGAGCATAGCGGATAAGATTGAGTGGATGAACAAGATAAGGAACGTAATCCAACCTTCAAAGGGAGGCCAAGCAAAGGGTTCCGAAACTGGTCTTCCCATTAGGCAGAGTCTTTCTGATGGTTCTCTGGTGAGTTAAAGCTACCTAGTAGATTGTTCCTGAGTCAATACCTTGATGGTCCTAGGGCCTGTCAACACTTTAGTTTCTTGAGAAGTTTTATTGGGAGTTTGCCTTTTCTAGTTCTATGCTTGATATATTCTGATTTGATTTCACAGGTATGCTGCAATTTACATTGTATGATTTTAATTGCTGTTATGGTGCCTGAACTACTAATTTATGCAGTTTGAAGTATCTTTTGCTTGTAAATGATTCATTTACATGCCCACTTAAAATTTTCTATGCACTGTTTGAGGACTGTTGGCTGAATTGTTCATTACTTTTAGGATACAATGGCTAGAAGACCTGCTGATCCAGAAGAAGAGCTCCGGTGGATGGCTCAAGAAGTACGTGGTTATGTGGAGGCAGTGCTGAACAGTCTAGCTGCCAATGTCCCCAAGGTGGCTTACATTCTTTATCGTAACATTCTTTTCCCAGTATTCTGTTGTTTATCAGGCCTTTATAGTTCCAAGTATAACCAACCGTTGTGGTTGAGCAGGCGGTGGTCCTTTGTCAAGTTGAGAAGGCTAAGGAAGACATGCTTAATCAGTTATACAGCTCTGTCAGGTTAGCTACACCTTTATTAACTCATGGTTGTTTGGAAACCATGAAGAATGATTATTTCATTTTAATTTTAAATTCATTGAGAGATTAAATCTTCATCTAAAATGGAGCCATTATCTGAATGTAGAAACAGAAATGTCTGTATTTCACAGCATCTTTTCTTTGATCGATTAAAAAGGATTTAAGTGATGGTTCTGGAATAATGTACAAGACTAGAAAAATGAGACATCCTTTGTATGATATCATAATATACCAGATAGAAAAAGGTACGAGTTGAAACCATGAATGTTCTCACTTCACTGTTTCCTAGCAATCTCAAGTAGATGTGCCTCTTTTTCTTCAAGTTCTTTAAGGACTCCATGATAAATAAGTGATCATATGCAGAGGTGACAGGACCCTATGGAAACAAGATGCAATGTCTTAAAAGATGTGCCTTGGTGCACAGGTGACAGGTGAGCCACATTTTAAGGCATGTGCCTCCCTTAAACCCAGGCAATGCCCCATTCCAAAGAGGCATGTGCCTGGTGTGCCTTGCGCCTCAGCCCAGAGATACATATTTTATGATTTTTCCTTTTTGGTTACTTTTAAAGGAAGCAAAAACATACACTTTTTAAGTACCTAAAACCTAGTAGGGTTTAAAAGAAATTTTTATTTGATCAACAATTGATCTCTGATCCCTAACCCTAAAATAGAATGTACTGCAACCAAAATTACAAAAGTATCTCCTTTATTTATATGAGCCAAAAATTTGTGTGGGTGCCTCAAGGGGCTTTTCCTTATGCTTCGGGACTGTGGACCCTTTGCCACTGTAAAGATCCCAACTTCCTAGGATTAGGATTGCAAGATGTTGAATATCACTCTAGCTACTTGAAGTAATGCAACTAGGAGATAGACAAACACATTGAGATTTTACATAATTGAATTGTTGAGTACTCAAAAGCACTTTGATATGGTCCACCTTGTTTTCACTTCATTTTGAATTTATTTTACATGTTATGCTTATGTATTTGATTTTAGCCTCTAGGCTTTTTAAAACATATAATTTCTTATAGTGTTTTTGTTTTCATATTTTTTTTGTGTTAATGTTTTCTTTGAATTTTCTTTTCAAAAATTTATGCTTTGCGTTGTTCAAGGCGCACCTCACTTTGCACCTTAGACCTTAGAAGGCCTTCGTGTTTTTCTTGCAGCTCTTGCATTGTCTGAGGCACACCTCACTTTGCAACTTAGACCTTAGAAGGCCTTTGTGTTCTTCTTGCATCTTTTTCTTTTTGAGGCACTGGCAAGATACTAATGTCATTATATACATTATTTTTAAAGATTTTACAGAAAGAATTTACATATTCTGACATGCTACAATGAAGAAATAGTTGTTTGCTATGCTTCTCTTGCACATGAAGAATCTGTCCTTCAAGCTAAATTAACATTCCTTGGATTGGTCCATTTTTGACTTTATCATGAGCAAGGTTCAAAAAATCGATACATACGCCCCGTATTGGCCCTATCGTATTGTATCATTTGGGTCACAGGTGTTTCGGGGCTCCACCCTTTTTTAATAAAGAATGCCCTTTTTTAACTCCCCAAAAATCAAATTTTGAAAAAAAAAACTAAAAAATGAATTCTGTGTGTATCTAAGTACCGATATGCCTCTGCCGATATGCAGAGGCGTATCGATACTTTGAACCATGATCTTGAGTCCACCTTCCACGTGAAGGTGTCCATCCTGGGAGGGATTGGATTCCACTCCAGACCTTTCCGTTGGTGGTGTTGCTTCTATTTTCCCTTCAAATGACCTGTTTCCATATGAATTCACAGAAAAATGGATTTGGATTCATTTATAAAAAAAAAAGGATTTGGATTCATTTATAAAAAAAAAAAGGATTTGGATTCATCCATCCAAAATTTTCGTTATTTGCCTGTTTCTGAAATCGTAACATTTCTCTTGAGATTATTTAATTTGTCTGAAATGTTTTTTTTTTGATCAATAACCATATTTCATTAATTAATCACAAAAATATTTCAAGGATGAAAATAAACTTTCTTATCTTCCAACTGGAGCTTGAGCTCCCAAGAACAGAGAAAGGAAAAAGTTACACTTGTGCCCAAAACATTAACTCCCTCAACTCCTTGCTTAGCTAACCCATCGGAAAAAGAGTTAGCTCTGATCTTTTCACCCAGCTGATCTTGATTTCCATCTCTTGAACCAGCCATCTAAATTTCCTCCTCACATTACTGTACATCCATAACCTAATTTGTCTCAAATGTTCTTTATAAAAATGAAATCTTTGAATCCAAGTGGGGCCTCAAAAAGCCTTATTTAAGAATTTTGTATTTGGGTAGACTTATTGCATCTTTGCATTTTGATATTACGTTATTACCATTTGAGAATTTTCATTGAACAAAAAATTTCTGCTGTTGCAGTGGCAATAGGAAAAGTGGAATGCTAATAGCACCATCCTTGTGTTTTTGTTAACCTGTTCATCTTTGCTATGGTATATGTTTAGTGCCCAAAGTACGGCCAGGATTGAAGAGCTGCTCCAAGAGGACCAGAATGTCAAGCGTAGGAGGGAACGATTCCAGAGACAGTCTTCTCTTCTTTCAAAACTCACACGTCAACTTAGTATCCATGATAACCGAGCAGCTGCTGCATCTAGCTGGTCTAATGGTACTGGTGCAGGTAATCTTAGCTTTCAATACCATTTGCACCTTTGGTTCTTTGTTTCTCTTGATTTGCTTGTAATTTAAGTCTTTCACGAAAAATGGCATTTCAGCAACTTTATTATTCAATATCCTTTTTTTCTGTGTTTTGCAGAGAGCAGCCCAAGATCCAGTGTTCCATCAGGTGATGATTGGAGATCTGCATTTGACGCCGCTGCAAATGGTCCAGTTGATCGTTCCAGTTCGTATGGTGACTCTAGGTCTTCTTCCAATGGCCATAGCAGGCGGTACAGTGACCCAGCACAGAATGGTGATGCAAGTTCTGGCCCAAATTCTGGTAGCCGCCGTACTCCAAATCGGTTGCCACCCCCACCACCTGGTTCTTCAGCATATAAATATTAGATAACTGAATTAATTGATCAATAGATGATATTTTCATGCATTCGTGGTGGGTGCGTCTTTGCTCAGCCCCTTTCATCATTTGAGCATTTAGTCGGTTCAAATTCTGTCAAAGCAGCCGAAGAAGGAAAGGGTGTCTGTGTACATAAAAAACTGCATTTCTCTATAATTTCCCCTTCAAACATTGGGTTTCAAGTTGCACTTGAAATCTTATTGTTACAACGCTCCCGTTCTATTGGATGTCACTACTTTTTTTGTTTCTCTTATTTGGGGTTTTTCTTCTATTTTTACCATTGGGAAGTTGCCCGTTTTGAACCCTGCTACTGTATTTGTTTGTATTGATTTTATTGCAGAGTGAGCCCCCTCCCCCTCCCTACAAATTTGCTTTCTCCATATCAATGATTCAATATCACCTCTTTTGAGAAGGCGGAAAACCTTGATCTTGACTCGTTTTACTTGGTGTGTGCCAAAGTTCAAAATATTGTTATGCTTGGAAATGGATACATAGATACGCTTTTACTACGAAGATGGGGTAAAAAAAAATATGGTACTCTTGGATCCAAGGTTCAAAGTATCTACATGTATTGGCCGATACGTATTATTCTGGCACACCACCGATACACCCTTACAGTTGGTGTATCGGTGGTCTAACCGGTTCAGGGTGTGGCAAAGACCTAAATCGTCTCCCTTGAACCAGTTGGCAAAAAAAAAAAACCACCAAAAGGAATATGATTCGCCGGTGATATTTTGAACCTTACTTGGATCCATTAGTGGGACCTTTACAATTCCCACAAATACATTAATTATTAATGATATATTGATATTAATGAAATGTTTCTTTTATTGATAAAAAATAAGGTATATACAAGGTAAAAGGTATCGATACATACCGGAGTGAATATGCAATAGTCAATAGATTATGTGTATTCGTGCCTCACTTTTCTTGTTTCTTCTCGAGGCCTTCGACTCATTCTCTCCCCCCTCCCTCTTTCTACGTATCAGCATTCTTCAGCACCAGCAAGGCATTAATCGGTGCAGGGAGACAAACACAGTTGAGGTTCATGGGTGCAGACTATGCAGTACTGAAACTCAAATATGAGATTTGTTGGCTAATAATCATTCAGATAGTTCAGAAATCCTTTTTGCAGAATATCTTTTGTTGATTATTGCCTTCTATTTGTGGCCACAACAATTGTATGATTTAACATCCACTTGGATTGAATTTTGAAGTTAGATGGTTTGGATTGATAAGAAACAATGAAGCCATACAGATTTAAGGAGTGTAACTATGAACAAGTCCCCTAGTATAAACTATGAAAAGTCCATGTAGGTGTTCAAGTGGAAAGTGCTGTGAACAATGTTATTATTTTGGTTGATGTAGGACTCACATGATTCCATGATATCTATTTGCCATTGAGTGCTGTATGTATACTTATGTTATTATTTTGATTAATAAAAAAAGAATGAGAATGAAATTTGTAATCAAACAGGTTAAACTTTACTGTCATTCTTTGTCACTAATACACAAAAGTAGATATGGAGAAAGGAAGCTTCGAATAAGTGGGGAGATGGAGAAAGGAAGTTTCCGTTGAAGCAAAATCTTTTAAATTCGAGGAGGTGAAGTCAAAAAGCCTGGTTTTGATGAAGATAAGAGAAGAGAAAAGAGATTCAGTGTACCTACCGAAGGATGTGGTCGTATGGTTAAAAGGTTTCTTGGATGTAGCCATAGTATCAGGAAGATATCAGCATTGGAAGAATACGATGAAGGTGAATGGAAAGGTGTTTGAAACAGAACAGCGACTCAATAGGAAAGGGTGGTTCATCACAGTTACAAAGTGGTTCGGACTGGGCAGAAAACAGATAATATGTATCCCCGTCGGAAACCAGAGCAAAGGTTGGACTATATTTGCGAAAGAGTTGCAGGAGTTCTTGTGGACAAACGAAGGAAAACCCAAGCAAACCACGGTGAGGCAACCCAATCAAAGACAGATTGGGGAAAGGAGAAAGATGGGAGTGTTAAGGATTGGAGTAAAATGTATGTAGTCTACGCAAATAAGGTGTCCAAATGGAACTTGGTAGCAGGGGAACTGAAACAGAAATTGAAGTTTGAAGGCCCTTCCAATCTACGACCATTCCAGGCAGACAAGGCTTTGTTAGAAGCAAGGTTTAAAAGTTTGATATGATACGGGGCCTATCGTATCATATCTTTGAAAAATTGATACAGGATACACATGGAAATCAGAAGTTTCGTCTTTTTCTATGCGTATCAGACCCGTATCGGGGGGTGTATCGAGGCATATCGGGAGCGTACCTGGGGTGTATCGGTAGTGCATCGATCGATAAAGAAGATATGGCCAAAAACTAAAAGAATTAAAGGGGGAAAGCAAGCTTGTTTTCCCTGAAATAAGCCTTCTTTCACCCCCAAATGACTCTAAAACTCTAAACTTCATTCCTAGAGTGCTAGATTTGCAAAAGTTTGCAAGAAACAAGTGTGAATCATTATTTTATTTTTAATTTTTTTCAAATTTTGAAAAAAATAGGTAAATTTTTTCAATCTTTTATAACATCCTGTGATTTCTTTTTTTTTCTTGAATGTTTAAATTTATGTTGATCTACATTTCTTACATTCAAAATCACAATTTTTTTTTTGTATTATCAATAGATTTATGGAAATTTCATAAAGATATTTGGGGAAGATATAAGTTAACAAAAAAAAATTGAAAATGTAAATTTTTCTTTACCTATAAAGACTAAATATGTTTTAGATCTATGGATTTATCTATCATATCCATATAGCAATTGAAATTTCTTCTTTAATATATTTTTTTTGATTTTTTATATTTTTATAATTAAAAAACAAAAAATAATTAAATATATTTTATCATTTGATCACAATAATTGAATATATTATAATTATATGGATGATCTATCATTTCCACAAACCAATTGAAATTTCATATTTAATAATTAATTTTTTTTGTTTTTATATTTTTAGAATTAAAAATAAATAAATAATTAATTGTATTTTATCATTTGATCACAATGATTGAATATATTATAATTCTATGGATAATCTATCGTATCCACAAAGCAATTGAAATTTCTTCTTTAATAACTATTTTTTGAATATATTATATAATGCTTATTTATTTTTATAATTTTTGAAAATGAATAATAAATAATTATTAATTATATTTTCACATGGAAGTTGTGCCAATGCATGTTTTATGGTTGGATAGGATAATTGAGTTTTTCTCATCCCATAAAACATTAAACTTAAGAATTATAATTTATAAATTATAATTAAGCATAGGATTTTAATGAAATTATAATTAGCTATAATATATTTCTTCATAAAACTATTAAAATATATTAATTTAATGTATATACACCTCATTGAGGTCTTACATTTAGTGTTGTTGATGTATTTTTATGATTTATTAAAGTATTTATAGTGTTTTTAAGTGTATCTATACGTATCTTAGTTTTTCTTCGATACACATGCGTATCTAAGGCGTATCTTGATATTTCTCTTAAAATTGCCTTTCGGATACTTTGAACCTAGGAAATTGATGCTCTGTCTCTTCAAACTACCGAAGGTGTAATAGTAATTAGCCGATGGACTCCGAGTGCAAATTGCATAGACCACACAGAAGTCTTCCCTATCAAAGTTTTTAGGCTTCCTTTAAACTTGTGGTCCCCTGAAATCTTTAAGAAAATTGCATCCCTGCACGGAGGTGTCTTGGAAGAGTTGGATACCTACCTCAGTGCGGCTGTTTTGGGTCTGAAAGGGATCAAAGTGGAAGAAGTCCCAAGAACAGAGGAGATGGAAATAGGCGAAACTCAGATTGTGGTTTGGTTGTTGTCGTCAGTGGAGGAGAGATTGTGGAGAAACTTGTGGGAGGTAGAAGATGATGATGTGGCAAGGGTCAAAGAAAGGGAAGAAGAAACAAAGAAGATTAACTACTCTTACAAAAGAAGGGAAATTGAACGGTCATCATATTCGAAAGTTGGAAATTGGAAATTGGTGCATTAATGAAGAGGTTAAAAACAAACCGTCTATTAACGCACGCGTGGCCTGTCAAAGATCTTTTGCGGAGGTGACAGCTGGAAGAGGCGGTGAAACGTAATTTAACTTTAAACCCGCGTTTGTAGTTAAACTGATGAGTGAACCAAGCGAACCAAGGGCTCAGATGTGCGCGTCAGCCCAAAGGTTGGTGGACAGTTGCAGGGGTCTATCATCGTCTTTTTTGACCTCTGTTGCTTGTACCTCCCCCCCCGGTGAGATTGACGCAGAGTTGCAAAGACGCCTCTAAAGCTCATGGGGATGCCGAAAAAAGAGGTACCACCACATGGGGATGGACGCCGGTGCAGATGAGCAAGTCTACATCTCCAGATAAGCCCAATCCGAAATTTAATAAGCATGAGAGCGACGAATCCAAAGAGGGAAAGCGACTGGGAAGACCTAAGGCAGGAAAAGATGTATTAATCGGAGCTAGAAGATAGTATCAGAAGTGTCAACACTACTAAAGTGTGTATCTTGTGGGACGACAAAAAACTGGGAACAGAGTTGTTGTTCGAAGACCCCTCTACTTGCGTTAGCGTGGCTCCAAGAGAAGAATACGGTGATAGTCCTGCCCCAGTCTTAGTGGTGAACCCAGTTTCAGTCAGAAGGGAAGATGGAGAATTCCCAAGGGAGGCACAACGACAAGATATTAATAAAGGAATGTCGGATCTTGTTACTAACCCAGACAAAGAAGCCAGGAGGAACAAAACAGTGATGTTATATCAGAATTGCCCGCCAAGGTTTCCGAACCAGTGGGTATGGATAAAGGGAAGGACTCGGGATTGCTAACATAGGGAGTCCCTAACCCCTCTTCTTCGTGCTTATCTTTTCAGATTGTGAGTCCTTGTTTAGATCCCTCTAAATTATTATCATGTGTCTGTGCAGGTACAACCAATGCCACTCCTCCTAGGAATCTCTCAATGAAAAGTGCCACAACCTAAGATTTTGAGAACCTATCGGACAATAGCCAAGAACAAGAGAGCTAGCATTTGGTCCTTAATTCTGGAAAGCCTATTTGACCTGACCCTAGTTTTGGAGAGTAATGAAAATAGAGTAAACCACCATGTGGGTGCTAGGAGGCTGAATCAAGAGGCGAAAGAAGAGGCAGAAGGAAAGAGAAGAGGGGGAAGGAAGAATGAAGGAAGTAAGGTATACTTGAGGAAAAAAGGAAAGCAAAGAAGAAAGGGAAGCGAGTTAGAGAAACTTAAGTGTGGAATAAATTATGAGAAGGAGGAGGGGAACCTGAAAAGGAAAATATGGGAATATTAGGCAGCCAGTGATAAGGGGTAAAAAACAGGTCAAAATGAAGGTAGTTAGCTGGAAAGTAAGAGGCCAAGGAAGTGCCAAAAAGAGGAGGATAATTGGGAA